CAGCCACCACGGGTAGCAGTGCGCACGCCATCAGCAGCAGTAAGGACCGCGCAGCCATCACGGGTAGCAGTGCGCACGCCATCAGCAGGAATGAGGACAGCGCAGCCATCACGGGTGGCAGTACGCACGCCATCAGCAGCAGTGAGGACCGCGCAGCCACCACGGGTAGCAGTACGCACGCCATCAGCAGCAGTGAGGACCGCGCAGCCACCACGGGTGGCAGTACGCACGCCATCAGCAGCGGTGAGGACCGTGCACCCATCACGGGTAGCAGTACGCACGCCATCAGCAGCATTGATGATTGCGCAGCCATCACGGGTAGCAGTGCGCAAGCCATCAGCAGGAATGAGGATTGCGCAGCCATCACGGGTAGCAGTACGCACGCCATCAGCGGCAGTGAGGATTGCGCAGCCATCACGGGTAGCAGTACGCACGCCATCAGCGGCAGTGAGGATTGCGCAGCCATCAAGGGTAGCAGTGCGCACGCCATCGGCAGCATTGCGGACACGCGGACCCCCAAGCATCCCTCATAGGGCAATCAGGGCCTAAAAGCCCTTGGCGCTTACACACAGGTCTTATCGCCGAAACACGTCGTGGCCATAACAACATAACCAGCTACCATCACGTTTTGTATGGCACGGCTGCAACGGCGCCTTACAAAGGATGAGTGGGGCCTTTTATAATACCCTGAAAACAGTGTGTTATCATGTGAGACATCTCACGAGCTCAATGTACTTGGGGGCTAGGTACAGACCCATACTTACATACACGTCTCAAGCCGAGAAACTACTTGATTGGTGAAGGAAAGGGATATTTATTATCCATGTTAAGGATCCATATTTTACAAGATCCATATACAACAGGAGGGCGGCATGGGATCCGATGTGAGCCAACTGCGGCACCTATGTAACGTGAGCCCCTTCACATGCGTGTGGACATGGGTGCGCGGGTGGCTTGGGGTGCGAGATCCAAGGCCCACCCACTTTTACTGAACGTTTCAACGTGAACTTCAAACGTTTTTTGGCGAACATCAACCCCCACATGACGCAACGCATGGAGATAGTTGACTTGAAGTAGGAGTCTGGCCCCTCCCACTTTTAGTTACGTTGCTCCGCCCCTGTACGTGGGCGGACTTAAGAGCATCCAAACATTTGCATTGTGTTGTTGAGAAGATTTGGCCGCCGCTTTCCATGCGTGTGTGGGCTCAGTCCTGTCTTCCCCTCCCCCTCCCCCCCTACCGCCCCCCCCCCCCCCCCAAGTGCCTCTCAGCTTCGCTCGCTCCGGCCACAGCGCCCGTTGGCTCGCGGTCATTAGCGATCACTGCATGCCCAGCGCTTTACCCGCCGTGACGCGCGTCCGCCCCCACTACAGCCCAGCTGCCGCGGGCAGGGGCAGGGGCAGGGACTAATGACCACGCCCAGCAGCTGCCGGAGCGGGGCGATCCGCACCGTCCCGCTGACGCTGCCCGGGGGTGCGACCGCGACCGCCGCATGGCGCCGACGGGGCGCGTGCGGCCCGTTGCTCGGATCACTAGGATCGGGCGCTATTCTGGAATGTCTGGAACGTGTTTAGCTGATTCGGAGGCTAAACACTTAGCTTAGCTTAGCTTAGCTTGGTAAGTGTCGATCAGGCGCCAAGGACTCCCCCAACCCCGCCGGCTGACTGGGTTGGGTTGTACCGCCACCCTGGTCGTACGCTTCGCTCGTGACGCGGTCTCCAAATACGACCGAGATCCTGGAGCCGCTGATAAAGAAGCAGAATGTGCTTACGGAATCAAGACCCCAACTGGCGAAACCGATGTTACATACGCTCATGTGCGAAGCAGTACGCACATCCCGCAGATCCCAATGCCGTGTTTCACACTGATCCGTGTTAAAGGAAATGCGCGTTTCTGTACTAAACGAGGCGCAGGTCGACGGCATACGCAGAAAACAGCTCGCACAAAAGCGTGTCCATGCCTATCGCGCCGCAGGCCTTATGACCAGCTCTCACCATAGCGCGCTCACGCGTCTGTCCGCGCCGGAGGCCGCACGGAACTCTCACAACAGCGCTCTGTTCGTCTGTTTACCGTGCGCTCCACCTACACTGTAAACCATACCGGGCGGCGGACCTTCCGTTGGCTATTGTTAGACCGGAGGTCGGAGGTCGGGATGCGAAGGCGGAACCGAGGAAATGAGAGTCGTGTTCACATTGGGCTCATCACGGCGTAGCTCAGTCGAGCCCAGCTTCGTGCAGTGCATGTGCAACCAAGGCCCGGGCCAAAGGTTAGGGACGTTGGTTTTAGCTTCACGGCAGCATGATAGAGCCCAGTTAATTACATTACACATGCCAGTTAGATGGGGGTTCGCCAGCCATCCGAATTGGCAGGAAGAAGGCGAGTAGGAGAACACACTGTGTACCTACGCCTGATACTCAGCGGCTAGAGCCCACACAAAACGACCTAGCGGCTGGAACACACATCTAACGGACTTGACAAGTTACCAGAAGGCACAAAAATCGTATCCACCTAAATAATAACTTGTTTTCCAGAACGCAAGTCCATAACAGCCAACATTAAATAGCTCTCGTGCAGAGTGGTTCCTGTGCTGAGCGTGGCATCGGTGATCACGCTTAGAACCCTGTCCATTGCAAAATGCAATTGGCAAGCCGACCAGAAGAAGGCTCAGTAGACGCCTGATGGCCACGCAGCATAACAGCTGACCGACACCATAACATCCCGATCGAAGGCCGAGATATCGGGCGGACCGGAGAGGGGCCCGAGGGCCCGGCGGGGACCGCCAGAATCACGCGGTTCATCGGCGGATGAGACGGCTCGCGGCTGCCAACCACCAGCTATCGGACCATCTGAGACGGGCTGAAGTATGGGAGCGGACAGGCAGAAGGGCGCCCGGGCTGCCGGTAAAATTGTCCATTATTGAGAGCGCGATAGCGAAATTGTAATTTGATCTACCCGGATAATCTCGCGTGAATTGAGCGGAATTGCAGCGACGCGTCAAGCGTAAATGATATGTAACAGAGCCGCGGGATGTGATCACGGCCATTAGCGGCGGGCCGACACAGCCGCGCTCTCCGGACCGCCACTGGCGCTTTGTTCCGGCGCCGATTCCAACCGGGCTTATGGTCCATCACCCATCGCCGGCGGCAGGCGGGCTTCGCGTCGAGGTAGGCTTGCGCTG